AAGTCATCCCCTCAATAGCAATAGTAGTTGTGGCAACCTTTTCTTTCTTCGAGATACTATCGCGGCGCGACTTACGTGTTCGTGAAGGAGGGGTAGTTTTGTTTGATTCGACAATGGTTGCTCCGAACCCTCTATCCTCAATGATTTCCGCAATTTGTTCCGCAGTCAATATTGTAGTGTCGTGCTCGACCACTGCCCTTTCTGATAATAATGATATACTGAAAGTCTTCACTCCCGGAACATCCTTGAATCCCCCCTCTACTGCTGAAGTGCAAGCCCCGCATGTCATTCCCTCTACGGCCAACATTGTTGTAGTTGTGGGCGCATCATTTGACTCGTCATCGTCAGTATTATCGCTGGTATCGTCGTTATGTTCATCCCGATCGAACATGGGAGATGGTAAATCCGTAGCCAGTACTTCTGCATCGAAACCGCGATCCTCAATAATTTCTTGTATTTTCTCGGCCGGTATTCTCTCTGGGTCGTGAATAATCACAGCTCTCTCCATTACCAAGCTCACTGATACATTTCCAATGCCATCCACACCATTGAATCCTGATTCCACCGCAGATGTGCATGCCCCGCATGTCATGCCACCAACCTTCACAGTTGTTGTTGCCATGTGCGCGGTTGGTGTCGCAAGACTCTTCGAGCCTGTGCTTCCCGTAGAAACCTTCAGATATTTTGGAGCCATTTCTACAGTTTACAGCTGGAAAAGCTGGAAACAGCTGGGAGCAGCTGGGAGGGTAAGAAGACTTATGTATCAATATCGTATCGGAATGATCTGTGCACTCCGTATGTTCCGTCAGCTGCATGTATCAACCGTGGATGGTCGCATTGGACAAGGGTCTTTATCGATTGAGCAAGTTGATTAATGGGGAACAAACTTAAAAATCAACAAGTAAATGATGAAGGAAGGTAATAACAGAAGGCCTGCTTCCGTCTGGGATATTTCTTTATGGATTATTTATTCAGTCTGGAGTGGTCTTCGTCATTTCAGAATGCGGAAAGTTTGCTTAGAAATGTGCGGGAGGTGTGGTGGTGGTGGTGGTGGTGTTGACTTTGGTGACGCCCGAAAGCGGCTGATATTTGATTTGTTTGAAGGAGTGCTGATGCCCAGGCAAAGAATGTACGTTCGGTAATATTATGCTCGAACCCAATATTCACGAACGAATGAATTAAGACAAGATGTTGAAGGGAAATGTAAAGTGGAAGAGCTACAAAGAACAGAAGAAGAAGACAAAGTGTTTGTAGGACCGAGGGACTTTTGGGGCGAAGATGTTACAAAGGCCCCGGCTTGTGTTATCCTCTCTCTCTCTCTCTCTCTCTCCTCTCTTTCTCATCTACTCAGTACGAGTAGTAACTATTAGTCATGATTTATTTGTTTTGATGTTCAAGTCAGGTACAGAAAGTCAATGAAGGCGTGTTGTCTCTCGAGTCTGCTATTCTGCTAGTCTATCGGAGCCTTTCTACCAAGGACAGGGACCTCGTCTCGTCTCACAATGCTCAAGTCTATGCGTTCAAATGTTTCTAGTTGTGGGTTGACAGATCATGCTTGCTTGTCTTGTTTCCCTACCTACTTCGTACTATTACCACTCAGGTAGCTGGTACGTACTTGGTAGAAATTCGATTAGTTCACCATATTCATGATATTTCCTATATAACTTAGGGTTATCTACTCCCTTCGAAAGCCACCCTGTCTCGAGTCTGTACATGAATTGAAATTTCTTCATCTTGAATAGGTTCGGTCCCGGGAATCCTTGCCGGCATCTACGGACGTGGCTACATCTGCATTGACATCCTAGATATCAGAAGGCTTGCGAATCAAGAAAATTAGCAGTCCATTTGTGATATTGATTTGGGGGTGATTCGACACCTCGAGGGCACATAATCCATCCATGCTCAAGGTTACATTGACAACTCTATTGATATTTTCCCGTGAAGAAGAGTAATTCTCTCAAAATTCGAGTCCATAATCTTTTCAACCAAAAGGAAGTGCTGATTAGACTCTCGAGACTCTGTACACTATCGATTGATCACCAGGATCTTTTTCCGTATCGTTTCAAATCCTCAGGAATTGGTTTTGTCTTCCCGCTTGCTACGGAAATGAATGGCGCTAAAACACTAAGTTAGTTCATAACATTCTTTCCTACATAATCTGGAACAATGCGTCTGTTTGATCACCTACCCTTCCGTTGGATCAAACAAGAAAATTACAAAGCAGGTAAGGAAGTACTCAGCAGTTAATCTTACCAACGCCACAACGGAAAATGTCGAGCTTTCATAATTAGTATCAATTCTTTGAGGGTTTTGCTTTCCATGTTTGTTGGTCGAGAAATAACCAGTTGTTAATCCTCATCCTACTATCCTAGAACTGAAAGGGGAGAACCAATCATTCGATATTTTCGATTGTACTTTATCACTTGCTTCATATGGTTTTCTGAGGCTCAATGAAAGATCTCCAAGGCCTAAAAGTGTTGCCGACGCAAGCCTAACATCCTTTTTATCTACTCCTATATCTCGCTTCGCAATTAATTTTTTCTTGTTTTTTTCTTTCGAGGCTATAGTTGGCCTGAAGACTTCAGCCAAATATCTATTGGATTTGCATCATCATTTGTCACAGTCAGACCCGCTGGCTGAGTTACTGCATTCATGTCAGTTTTTCAGCCGCTTAGACGTGAAAGTTCTCAATGCTTGAAAATTTATGATTATAAGATGATCCATACCTTCTCATAAGTTAGATCCTACCAGTGGTTTGAATACTCCAAACAACTTCTAATTTGATGAGCATTTCCAATACTTTGAGCGAAATGTGGAATAGCAAAGCTCCGCGGAACAAGTAGAGACTTTGGTTGTAAAATGTAAGGAGGGATGAGAGGAAAGGGATGACGTCCGTTATGCAGCAATCAATCCAAAGCGTCTTCGTATCTCCACGGTAAATGGGTATCGAGCGACGAATTTATCTCGGCGGTGGCAAAAAGACACGAGTTATGGCAAGTTAAGGCAAGGTGGTAGGAACTTCGAGGGCTTGTAGCTGCTCTTACTCCACAGAGTACATCAATGGGTCAAGTGAGAAAAAGTGCGCTTGTCGCCAGATATACATATGTCTCACACATAATCTTACTACGGATTTGCACTATCGTCCTACTTTCAAGAATGATATGTCCTTTCCAAATCCTTAATCTCCAGTCAACTATCCGTGCCTGTTCATTCAATCCACACATTCATAGAATTCCATCTGCATACTCTCTTTCATAAATTTGCGCACCCATACAACAACATCTGCCATTCCTCAAGACAACGTTTTCAATTCTGGTGTAATCTAAGCAGATCATTCCAGCGCTATCACCATTCTTCCCGAGCAAGAAAGAAAAGACAAAATAAAATATCCAAAGCCAGGTAAGTGAATAATATCTAGTGTGTAGAAAGTCGGGATTCTTACCTATGTCAAGTCCATTCAAGCTATTTAATCGTTGGCCAAATATCAACCGAGTAGATCCACAACGAAAGATTCCATGAAATGACCGACTTGCTTGAAGCTCAAAAGAGCAATAAAGAGTAAACTAAAACATCAAAAAGAAGATATTCAAACAATTGATCTGACTTTGCGGAAGAACGAGTAACAACTGCCGAAGCCATACCCAAGGAACCACATAGAACTTGGAGTGCAGAATGCGCAGACGAAAAAAGGCCAACACAGCCAAGAGCTCCAGACCAGTTTGCACTGCTTGATGTCAACCATCTAACATTTACAATATATGTATGCTTGATAGGATAAATTTGACAAATATACACCGCCTGGTTAAACTGCACCTTTCTCCTCACATCTCAAGACTCCAGCTCGGGATCTTTGATTTTCAAGCCACACATACCATCCACTGTATCATTCTGACCTGTATTACTACCATACGGATTGAGATGGCCGTGATACATCTCTTCTGGAATCGGGATTTATGTATCTAGAGACCTTTTCCCGCGAGGCCATGGTGCATAATTTGTGACGATGGCATTGAAATATACTCAGATTGTTGTAGATGGAGCTAAGTAGATATTTTCACCCAGACTTCTTGAATCTACGGCATCCATGACATCGATATACATGATCTAAATCAAAGAACGATCCATGAGTTCTTCAGCGGTAAGAATCTCACAGCAGTGTACTGCGACGGCATACCGCCACCATAGTGACTTCACAATAATTCATCCAATACTATACACTCAACGCAGCGCACAACATGTTAAGCTCATTTTCATTCTCAACTTCTGGGCTGGTTTGCCTCAGATATCCTCTCTATTCCCTTTACTACCGCTAGGGTGGAAGAGACGCGCGACTTCATTTGATACATGATGACAACGACTAGAACAAACATGCTCACAAGCCGAGCAGGGTGCAGTGCTAGATGATAACGAAATCTTACTTACATATCAGTCTCCTTCCCCTTTCCCACTCCTCCTCTCCTCCCTCCCCCTTACCAAACAAAGCTGCCATCCACGCTGTAATATCCGTTCCAGACACGATATATCTATTTACCCATCGATGTGTATGTGAAACATGTTCAACATATCATTCCCTCAAAATTTGAAGTAACGATAATGTGCATCATCCCACTATATCCTGTTCCATTCACCCTTATCACTTGTATCATTTCAACATTTCACGGATTCCCAAACTCCATAGACTATGGCTTCGTCATTCTACGATAAAAAGAACTTCTATGAATCAATCTCATTCCCTAACCATACACGCGCATCTTACATCGCGATCTTCATCTTTACAGAGTAGTTGATATCAATCCAAGACATCTCTTGAAAACCCATATCACCTTGCTATAAGTTTCATGATATGTTGTCAGTCGAATCGGTAGGAAACAAGCAGTAACGCCATCAGATTTGCGATATCGACTGCAGTTCAAACAATAGATCACGCCAATCATGTCCGCAAACTCAAGTCTCACGATTGAAAAGGCACATTGCAAGTATGAAAAGGATCCGAAATTTCGGAGACAATAATATAGTATTCATCTAACACGATCGCGTCTCCCATTAGTTCCATAGTAGTGTACAAAATATACAAGTAATGTTAGCAAAGGTCAACAAATATAACTCCCCAGGACCAATTTTCCCTGGTCATGCATACCCAAGCCACCCACCATATTATATTGTACATCCCAAGTCAACTGAAGCACTTTCAAATTGACATTTCTCCTATACTCCCAAGCCCTATAATTGCCCAGAACTGTATATTCAATCTTTTGCAATTCTCCTGTCTCTTCTTTTCTTTCTCGCATGAGTTTTCAATGTTTCCTCGTCAAGAAATTCCTCCGGCAAGTCAAATTCAGCTACTTCTGGAAGTTCAGGGACGGGATGTCCCCAGGCGGCAACGGTTCTACCACTACGCCTGTGCTTCCCAAGTGCTGCTTCGCGCAAATATGGTTTTGCGAAGAATGATTTGAATTCCTTCTCAACAGCAGGTGGACCGACAAGCACAGAGTTTGTTCTAGCCTTTGGTCGAGGAGTAGAACTAGCGATTGCCTCATCGTGCAATTGTCTTGCTGCAGAAGCATCGATGTCACTAAGGTCAGGAGGATCACCGTTACTTTCGAGATCATCCTCCGAGTCCTCGCCTTCTTCTGATTCTGCCTCGGCTCTTGCTTGTGCTTCGGCTATGGCGCGTTCTTTCTTCAACTTTCTTTGCTTTTCGTCATCCTTCCAGATCCGGAATTTTTCAAGGATCGACTCGCACCCTTTGATGAAGTAGTGTCGTGCCGATTCGAACTCCTTCTTCCTACCCTCGGTAATGCCGCTGACCCCGAGAGTCTTGAGCCAGTCCGGCCCTTGGAGACCTTCCATCAGTCGAATGACTGAATCTCTCTCGTGTTGAGCTCGGCTCTTATCTGCATTTCGAACAGCCTTTTCTTGGCGTTCAGGTCGTTTGTGGAGTGTCTTGAAGTGCTCCTCAGATAAAGGGTCCTCATCGCAGTCCATAGGAGTGAATTCGGAAAAGTCCACTTTGTATGTATTGTGAAGATTGGTGAAGAGGGAGGATGGGTATTCTTTCACTGCATATTCATTGTTCGTTTCCTTCTTTTTGGAGGTACGCAAAGGCTTGGCAGAAGGCTTGGAGCTATCGATGATGATGATAGGTGTGTCGATATCTAAGAAATCTGGAAAGGAGAGTCAGCTACAGTTTGAAGCACCAATTTTCATAAATAATTAACACTCACGTTCTTCCTTGGGAACATTTCCAATAACTTCATCGTACTCTGGAAAATATGCAGACAATTCACTTTTGAATTTTGTCCCTTCTTGCGATCGAAGCTTCCGCCTTTCATCCTTCAAATCGGCCTTGTCCGCCTGTAAAAGTTTGTCCTGTAGTCTATCCAGCTCGTGTTTGATGCCATTGGCAACTTTATTTTGATGTTTTGTAGGAGGTTGTTGCTGTTGCTGTTGTTGTTGTTGTTGTTGTTGTTGTGAACTCTGGGATGGTGGATGTGCTGTTCGTACATCTGCTGTTGTTGCTATTTGTGGATGTTGCACGGAGTTCGCAGAGTCGGGATTCGCGTTCGATTTGATGACGCCTGATCGTTTTCTTGGTGGAAGCGATTTTAATTTTGGAGCTGGTATCTCGATGGCGAGCTTTGATTTCTTCGCTTTGGATAATAGATGATCGTCGCTATCAGCAGATTCTCTTGCCCGTTTCCTGCCATTAATATTGGACTGCGAGTATGTGTGTGTATACGATCCTAGGTTGTGGTTGACGCCTGGAGCCATCGCGATTGTGTTTCCAGATGAACTTGTGAGGGCTTCAGATTTTCTTGTCGTTCTTCTGCTTAAAGACATTGAAGAATGTGATGGTCGCAGATCATGTTATTTGATTGAAAATAAAATTCAATGTAACTTCAACTAAATATTAGTGTCTGGAGTTGTGATGTCTGGTACGGTACGGGCAATAGCAAGCGACCAGTTCAACTTTGGGGACTTCTTCACACGCGCAGGGAAGGTATAATGTTATGGTACGGCAGAAAATAAACTTTCAATTGATCGCGAAAATATTCTTTTTTTCTATTGTTTGATATCTGGACAAAAATAATGGAGGGTTTTTAAATATTTTGATTTAATAAAATTCAATTGTTCAATTCAATTCAATTCAATTCAATTCAGTTTTTGAGGATTAATTATTAACTATATTATCGATCGTCATTTCATCATTATGGGTAACACAGATTTATTTATAATCCGTACAGTACGTACAGCGTAGTACACACCACTAGCATTTACACACGCTAAAATCGAACCACCGAACAACTCTCGGTATTGGGTAGGTGGGAGGTAGATAGGAGGCTCTTTTATATGTTCATCGATATCTTTAGAATCCAGACTAGGTGAATCAAGAAAAACAATCAACAAACGCATTGTGCTACATCGTGATGGCGCTTGTCGTTACAAACTAAAAAGGGGAAGGGGGGGGAGGGGGGGAAGGGGGGGCTAATACTACTGTCAAACATAATTTGTGCCCGTAAGAATCTAACTATTGGAAGAGGACAATTGAGATAGAAGACTTGACAGAATGGTACTCGATTGGGGTCTAGTTTTTTTATGACTTCTTCTATAAATACATGAAGGTTTCAAAGAAGTCGACATGTGAGATCTCAGAAATTAAGAGTCATGCTTGGACAATGCAGGTGTTTTTGTCCAGATAGGTACAACTATTATGGTTGTAGTCAATCTGATATGAATATTGTGCTGCCTTGTCTCGTGATGCTAGCAGTGCCTTACGTTCTGCTGCTCATCCCTTGATTCTCAAGGCTAAGCTTCGATTCTCAAATGTCTTCTCCAATGCTTGCTTTTCACACTTAGCAAATTTTATGATGGAATCTAGGAACCCTTTCCAGTACTTTAACTCTTCCCTAATTCGACGATCTATTGGTAAAGCTATACCCAGCTCTCGCCCCTTGGCGACCAAAATCCACGAGGTAAGTCCACGCCACTGTCGCTCTTCCGATAATCCCCGCAGCTCCTCGATGTATGGTTTATCAGCGATGAAGCTGCAAAGTTGCAGAAGCTCAGAAATATAAACCACATTATCATGAATGAATTTCTTTTGTTTGGCGGGAGCCTGGTGATGATATGCTACAGCGTCTTCGATGTCGCCCCTTCAACAGGTAAAGTTAGCACCAATCTTCATTTCAAACTCGAGGTTCTTATGCACTTCGATGGATGAAAGAGGACTTACTTGTGGATCAGCGAGGTACTTTTCCAGGTGAACAATTCGAACATTGTACCGGAACATGTTACGAGCTGCTCGTGGGATATTTTGCAATATTCCGGTTGCCCAGCTTCTTTTGAAGACTTGCCCTCCATCTTCTATGGCATATTAGAAGCGTATAAGTAATCCTTGGTCTTTGAATAGCTTGTGTATCAGTAGGTATCAATAGCTAGCATTAGGTGTAGAAAGCATACCTATTTTGCATATTTCTAAATCCACGTCCAGTCTTAGCAATTCGACCTTTCTCGTACTCTGCCGTCATAAATTCTAGGGAAGCGCCAAAACTATCCTCGTCTGGTGAGGGATCGTTCAGCACGACAGTGCGAGCCCAATTATTCAACAAATCGTGCACGTATTTAGTTGCTCTCGTCATATTGAAGCTATTCTGATACCTTGATTGTATATTGGAAGAGGAAGAAGGCAACGAGATTGGAAGCTTGGGGATATGACTTGAGGTTTGGCTCGATATCTGATATAGTGAATATCAATTTTCGCAAAATGTCACTTCTCACCTTTAGCAATGTCGAACAATGGTTTGCATAAGCAGAGCTTAGTAGATAACAAAAATGACCTTCTCAATGCCTATATGAATCGTTCCTTGGTGTCCAAGTCGATTGGAATAATGGAAGATAACGTTTGCTGTCATAGTTTGAAGATTGCTAGCGATGTCGGACGCCTTCATTTAGATGAGATCAGCTAATTCACTGTTCTAACGGGATTCGAGCATTGAGAAGTAATTATATCTGGGGTCTTACAAAGACTACCTATGCCTGGGCTTTGATACTTCTCTATTTTGGGTCATTCAGTTATCTCCTCTGGTTTCCACCCCCCCCCCTTTCGTATTCACCACCCCGCTCCCCTTTTCCTCTCATCTCTTCTGCATCGACTTGAATTCATTGACTGAATGAAGCGTTTGTTCGGAGAAAACGGTATAGCAACATTCACAATTGTCTTGGGATAGAACTGAACACTATGGTTCTAGAATACCTTTTACGGCACTGCAGGCTGCGTCATTAAAAAGTCCGACTCGAATTGGAGGGACAGTCAAACACAACGACATCTTCGCCTACCAACACAGATATCGACGATGACTGGTGTTTAATCCGCCGCGAGATTGTTAGGTTCTTGTCCTTGGTTTATGGAAAGGGATACAAGCTGTTGACTGACGGGATGTGAAATGATATATCAGGTGACAACCACTGTACATAATGTGATGTTCAATGAATAAGCGGAGCCGCGGCGCTTCTCCGAATGCAAATCGCTTAGCGCGTTAAAGCTACAGTCCCCTCAGCCTCGCGTCCCTCGACATCTTTGTAAATAATATCAAGGCGACGCGCAACATCTGCGACAGCCCTTTCCACGTCCATACGATTTTGATATCACTGTATTTTACCTCTAGGAATTGTTTGCGCACGTAGTCGCAACTTTTCTTCGTCAAAATTTCTTATGCGCGCACAAGCTAGAGTTTGATACCTTCGTCATTGGTGGGACACGATAGCTCCATACTACCTAGAGTTCAATAATTATCATAACTATCACTTTCTTTCCACCACCCCTCTTACAGCTTGTAACTTTCTGCCAATTTTCCTACGGCCACGATCTTGGCAGATCAACTTTTCCTCTTTTAAAAGTTCTTTTAAAAGTGCAAGTTCAACTACGTAACCGACAATCTCACAAGCCACGATTTGCGATTCTCTCGATCCCACGAACGAACGACGCCCTTTGTTTTCGCGTCGCATTTTCGTGACTTATCCACAACATAACGAGGGTATTAGAAATAAGGCATAGCGAGGACAATATACGCGGGAGGTAGTTTGGTTCGGCACGGTTTTAAGTCTTGCTGGCTCTCGCCTTCGGGAGGCCAGCCAGCGCAAGTTCTCAGTCGCATAAATCACACATTAGTAGCGCGCTTTGTTCAGATTAAATCAGAGCGGTCGAACTCGCCGTAAGATACGTGGCGGCACCGATAAGAAAAATTTCGAAAATGCCTGCTTTATTACTAAATCACGACGGCCGTGAAGGTGCGCCAACCACCAAGGAAGATCCTGCGGATTATGGTTTCATAGTAGTACATCAAAAGGTCGAGCTTGAAATTGATTTTTCGACGAAGAGTTTACGGGGTAAAACCCACATTGAAATTCTTCCACAGACAAAAGAACTTCAGACCATTCACATACATGCACGACAATGCTCTATACCACAAAGAGAGGTTTTGGTGAATGGCCGGGTTGCGTCTTTCTCGTACGAAGATCCTCACAAAAAATTGGAAGTCCCCGAGTATTATTCATGGGATGCACAATCGCACAAGATGCAAAGCGACAGAGTGAAGTTCATGACTTCGGACAACAAGCTAGAAGGTACGATAGAGATTGAGCTACCGGATAGTGTGAAAATTGAAGAAATTGATACATTCTCCGAGAAGGCAGCAACACCGGTCACTCAACGTGCTGGTGGCGTCGCTGGGGCCCGCAACTCGTCAGTTGCGCTCGAAGGAGGTTCAGCTTCCCTTCCTATTTTTGCTGCGAAGACGGCTGCAGAACAGGCATCTAGATTCAAGCCTTTGACTGTCACTATTCCTTTCGTTACTACACAAATTCGAGATGGCCTGCAGTTCGTAGGAGTTGAAGAGGGGGATGTGAGATTCCCTCATGTTTATACCAAACATTCTATAGAGCGAGGCGTGGCATGCTGTATCTTCCCCTGTGTTGATGATTCGGCGATGAGATGTTCGTGGGATATTTCCATCAAGTGTTCAAGAACCCTTGGAGATGCACTCAAGCGACGACCCAACATCCACAATCACAAATCAGGACATACAAACGCAGCTTCTCAGAAGACAGATATTGATGAAGTCTTTCTCAACGACGAAGAGAAGCTTCTTGAGATGGCAGTGATCTGTTCTGGTGAACAAGTCGATGAAGTGATTGATTTGGATGATAGTTCTAAAAAGATTGTATCATTTCAATGCACTTCTGACATAGCAGCAACACATGTAGGTTTCTCCATTGGTCCATTTGAACAAGTCGATTTGTCAGAATATAGAGAGGGCGAAGATGAAGAACGACTTGGGCAAGGTCAGTCAACTGCCATATATGGCTACTGCCTACCCAGAAGATCAGAAGAATTGAGGAATACTTGTGCACCATTGGCTCATGCTATTGATCACTTTGTACTTAGTTTGGGCAGTTTCCCATTTTCAGAGTCAAAATTTGTCTTTGTTGATGATCAGGTAAATGACACGGAACACACTGCATCTCTATCCATTTGCAGTAATCGACTTCTATTCCCGGAAGATATTATCGATCCAGAGATGGATATTGTCAGAAAACTGGTTCACGCCATTGCTAGCCAATACGTTGGCGTTGGCATTGTGCCAGACCGTCGTACCGATAGATGGCTCATTGCCGGCATTTCTAATTTTATGACAAACAGTTTTATGAAAAACCTTTGCGGAAACAACGAGTTCATGTTTCGTCAAAAACTGAATACAGAACGACTTGTCAAGCTGGATATTGACCGACCGTCCCTGCACGCCCTTGGTGAGATCGTGGATGTATGTGATGATTTCCGAGAATTTATGGAGTTGAAAGCTCCTCTTATTCTTTTCATTCTGGACAAGCGTATCGCAAAAGCTCAAGGAGGCACTGGTATATCAAGAGTCATTTCTAAGATGATTGTTAACGCAAATGCTAATGGAGGCACCGATTCTACAATATCGACAGAAGGATTCCGCAAAAGTTGTGAGAAAATCACCAAGTACAGAGATACCGATTCTTTCTTCACTCAATGGGTTCATGGCTCAGGATGTCCACATTTTACTATCACCCAAAAGTTCAACAAGAAGAGATTGTGTGTGGAAATGACAATTACACAAACTCAGGCACACCTGGAGACGGAACCTAAATTGCACAAGGATGGCTTCTATAGGGCTTTTAAGGAGTCGGATAATGGAGTAAATCAATCAAAAGCACAAAGTACATTCACCGGACCGTTAACAATTCGAATCCATGAGGCTGATGGTACACCCTATGAACATATCGTTATGATCAGAGAGAAGACATCAAGAATTGAAATTCCGTATAATACAAAGTACAAGCGTCTGAAGCGCAATCGGCGTATGAAGGAACGTGCAAATGCAGGAACCGCTATGGATGGTCTCGAAAATCATGACGACGCTCTCATTTATTGTTTAGGGGACGTACTGCAGTCACCGCAAGATATGCAAGAGTGGGGTTTACGAGATTGGGATCCGATCACAGAAGCGAAGATGGAAGCTGAATCATATGAGTGGATTCGTGTTGACGCCGACTTTGAATGGATTTGCGACAAGAAGTTCACTGGTATGGAAGCATACATGTATGTTTCCCAGCTTCAACAAGATCGCGATATCGCGGCTCAATATGAATCTATGGCATACCTTGACAATGCTCCTCCTCATCCACTCGTTGCTACGTTCCTGATTAGAACGTTGATGGACAGGCGTTATTTCTATGGCATTCGAGCAATGGCTGCAAAATCTCTTGCTAAGCACGCAGTGGAGAAGGACGTGAAATGGATAGGCCTTAAGCATCTCGAAAAAGCTTACCATGAATTCTTCTATTTTCCAGGTGCAAAAACGCCCAAGGCAAATGACTTTTCTGATAAGCAAGCTTACTGGATTGAATGCGCTATTGTTGAAGCAGTGTCAAGGATCAGAAGCATGTACGATTCTACTTGCCCCTCAACAGCGCAAAAGTTCATAATTGAAGCTCTTCACTTCAACGACAACGGAAACAATCCCTACTCAGACAGTTTCAAGATTGCGAACATTTTGAAGGCATTGGCAAACTCTTTGATTCCTGGTGCCAAGGGCGTCGATAATCACGTGCTTGAACTTGATGACGCTGAAGAAACTGGAGGAAAGGCAGGGAGTATAGATTATCGAACGATTATTTTGGATGAGCTAGACAGATATAGTAGGATGGATGAGTGGCTAGATTCTTACCAGAATATCTACACAATCACAGTCATCGAGTGTAAGCTGAAGTTGATGAACGCTGGTGTGATACCAGTGGATGCACTTGACTTTGCTCAATACTTTCATGATGGCAGTGCCCAACGTGTGCGAATTAAGGCTGCTTGGGCACTTGCGGACCTTGGATTTTTGAAGAGCACTGCTGTAGCATGTCTACTTGTGACTGCTGCTAGCACAGATCCATCACCCTGGGTCCGAAGTGAGCTGACAAAGGTGTTCTATTATGGATTGGGGGTCCTCGGACTTGGCGAATACAAAAACAAACGAGTTGCCGCTCCTGTAGCCAAGGATGGCTTGATTATCGAAGAAGCTTCCACGTCCGCACGTCAGGAACAAGCCGAGCGCAGTAATGTAATCGGCGCACTGGCTTCACTCAAGTTAGAAGTCGGAGGAAATACCGATCTGAAGAATGCCTTGTGGAAAGCTGTTCTCTCTCCCGTTATCACAGTGGCAGAACAAATGGACTTTCTTCAACTCTGCACAATGTTCTGCTATCCCAAGGAGTCTTTGACCTTGAAGCTAAGGTTACCTCGTTATTGGAAGGTCGAGCATCGTGGCAAGGTATGTTATATGTTGCTTTCATCGATAGCGTTCTCTATACTAATTATACATAGGGTCGATTAGTCTTCAAACACACCGATAAAGTTCGGACCAAAGTTCGCAAGATCAAACCAGCTGCTGTTGCTACACCTCATCCACCAGTAGAATCCTCCACCGTCACTCAACCCGTTCAAGGACCATCGGTAGAAAGGCCATCGCTACCACTCAAGTTAAAAATTGGCAGTTCATCTGCTCTGAAGCTTAACAATCCATCTGCTATTAAACTTGGCACTCCATCATCTGCCATTAAGCTTGGGTCACCATCTGCTATCAAGCTTAATAATTCACCTGCTCTTAAGTTTGGTAACTCATCCGGTGGGCTCAAGATAGCCACATCATCTTCTGGGGTCCCTAAGCATTCCAGCTCAGCAGCATCATCATCATCATCCGGAATTCCCAAGTCTTCAACCTCTTCAGGATCAGCATCCGCAATTCCTAAGTTTTCAGGCTCCTCAGCATCATCATCTGGGCTTTCTAGGCCTTCTCCAAACTCTTCAAGTGCATCGAAATATTCTAGCTCTACGCACCCTGCCCCAGCAACATCGAAATCTTCTGGTTCACTTAAATTTTCTAGTTCATCCGGTGATATGAAACCACCTAAACGACCTCTTCCAGCTGATATTGCAGAGAGTTCCAATTCTTTACATAAGGACAAGAAACAATATGAGGGTTCTAGCTCTTTGCATAAAGACAGAAAACATTATGAGATTTCAAACTCGCTACACAAAGAGAAAAAGCAGAGAAAGATGGTTAAACTCAAGATTCCTCCATCCAAGTTGAAAGAGATTCTTGCGTCGACCCGCAACCCATCAGCAAAACCTTCATTATCATCTCAATCCTCATCCCAATCCACTTCGAACCCGAAACGACCATCTCCGAGACCCTCATCCGCACAACCGGTCAGGGCTAGTCCTGCCCTTTCTAACCCATCTAGTTCGTCAACCCACACATCTTCCAACTTCAAGAAGTCAACAAATTCAATTCCAGGTGTAGCAACTATTCGAAAACCTCTCCCCGAAGGCAGAAAACCTTTACCGGATTCGGCACCAAATCTTTCGCAGGCACCTCCCACTCCTGCTGATGCGCCGGCGGTACCCAAGAAGACAACCATTAAGCTCAACTTCAAACCTAAACCCAAACCTTCATTCTCTTGAAAGAATTGAAGAACAAATTTCTTTCTTTTCTCTTTATATTTTTTACTCCACTTTTTTTTTCTTTGGCATTAATTGATCTGCATTTAGCGAAAAGGCGTCTCGGTTATAAATGATTTTCACAAGTTTGTACATAAGGGAGGGCTGGATTGGCTGGCTTCTTCTCAAGAGGTATACACCCGGAAGGAAGGAGGAAGAAAAAGGGGCGTTTTTGTGAGAGCTTGATCTTGCCACATGATTTTCGATCGGTCATGACGAGAAAGGAGATATTTTGGGCTTCCTTTATTCTCTGGATGATTCTCTAAAGGAGAGAGGGGGGGAGGGGATTATAAGATACTGACTGAGTAAATGTATACTCCAAATTACTTAGCTAATAAATGCAGATGAATTCTGATGAACAAGGCGGCTTGCTCACATTTTGAACTGCATACTTTTGGGAGCATTATGTATTTCGCCCATTGAATGTGTACTCCATTGCGCCTTTGCATCCAACCATATAGTCCAAACATACTCCACTATCCATATACTCAAACATATCCACAACCAATACTTTTCCCCAAATGTATCCATGAGATTATACAACAAAAAGCCACCCCATTTGATCAGCACATATCATCTCCCCGATGCACTGCCATGCCCACCGCCTAATCCCAACCTCTCCTCTCTACTCCTCTGCTCCCTCTCCTCCCTTGCTCTCTGTAACACCCTAGTAGGTCTCTGTCCCTCCCTCTCCCTAAGTCTCTCCCTCATCACCCTCTCCTCTCTTTCCCTCAATATCTGTCTATCCTCATCCTCACTAATTTCATTCTCATTTTCCGCATTCCCATCCCCCTCCATTTCCAGTCCCCTTCCAGCAGTTCTCTCCCTCGCAGCATCAACTCTTCTCTGCGCAGGTATCGCCTGCAACTCCCTGTATTTGTCCCCCTTGACAGCTCCAAAATCTTGTCGTTGTCTTGCTTTTCTGTGGCGTGCTGCTGCTGCCATGGCTTCTCGCTCTGCTTGTTCATCACGTTCGGCTTGCCGGGAGTCTTCGTAGATGGCTATGTCTTCCGCGGTGAGAGTAATGGTTGTTGGGGTGCGGCGCAACATTGTGAGGGTGAGATGGTTGGAGAAAGATAATAAAAAGGATTCGTGCTTTGTGGTGTTGATTTGTTTTGATTTTGTTTGGTGTTCAATAGCGAATATATACTTCCTCGTTTACTTCTCTGCCAAAAGAGAACTGTCTAGTTCCGTTATACTATTAGCAAGTCGTGGGCCGTATGCGAAAACATTAATCCCAAAATCAATATTGATGTGGTAGTATGTCGTTGATATCCTAAACAACCCAAGGCTGAGAAAACGTGGGGGGTCACTGTCTCTCCAGAAGTTTTGTTGCACGTCTGCCTGCGGCAGCAAATATGGGGCTTTTGCAAAAAGTATAATTTTCTTCGCAGGTGCGGAAACTTCAGACCTTCACGATTTCGATAAAACCATCCTGGGGGTTTTGGAAGCAGTCTTGTTGGACAATTGTTCGGTGTGTATTGAAGGATTTGTGAGAGGCTACTATTTTGCCTTGTTTACATTCAACAACCGTGCAGATAGCCTCATGCTTTTATAGTGTCTTAATTCACAGGTTGATATGCATTGATACCTAAGGCAACCATAATATTTTCTTAGAATCTCCAGATTGATAGAGGGGAGAGAGAGGACGATTTGATAAGTGACAAGAAGCGCTACACATCATGTTTACACGGCATGTGCAATCAGCGATTGGAGGTGCCCGACCTTTGGGACATGATTTGACGAGGATGTCGGAGGGAATCAAGGCAAGTTTGAGGGCTTTTAGTAGTTCTATTAGGAGGAGTGAGGAAGGGAAGGGTAATGATGATAGTAAGTTTCTACCTTTTTTCGGAGGGTTCGAAGATTCACTCAGTGTTACGCCTGATGGGGAAGCATTCAACTTAGAACCCTAGCTCATGGGTGAGAATTATGATATTTAACAATAGCCAGGTCAACCACGCTCCACTCGCGCAGAGCGCAGCTCCATTGCCACAGCCGACATTTCCTCACTCGCATCACAATCCCCCCGCGGGATCGACGCTCGCTCACTAGCAGCACGCCCTCCTCCCGGTCAAACCTTTACCATTAGCCGCCGTATCGATGATAGTGGTACGCAAGTTCGAGCACCTGGTGCCCGTCACAGTCCCAATTATCGCGGACGAGGGGGTGCGCTCTCTGGAGGAGCTGGTACTGGAAGAGTAGGCATGAGAAGTGGGACTGGTAGTGCAGGAGGAGCTTCTGCACGAGGAGGACGAGGGGGACGTGGAGGACGCGGAGGAAAAGCTCGTGTTCGTGCAGGACCTAAACCCGCAGATGTGGAATTGGATGAATATGATCCTCCATATACAGTTGAAGAGCAACAATACCTGGATAGTCAAGAGGGAGGAGAGTTCGTCTTTTATAATCCAGTCACCTCAATGTCTGATTTGGAGAGTTGGGGCCCGGCAATTGCGACAAGTTCAAGTACAAATGGATTGAAGGAATCGATAATTTACAAGATGCAAGTTGTGAGCGGAACATTGGCACAAAGAGATGTACCGACGCCGCCGGAAAGACATTTGGCGAATATGGAGAGGGGTATGGGCACGGTATTCGAGAGCAAAGAGGAGAAGGAGACACTAGAGAAATGGAGGGATGGAGAGGAGGCATGGAGAAACGAGGTTAGGTGGAAGGTCCATAAAGATTATAAGGTTGAGGGATTGAAGGAGGAAGAGAAAGAGGCAATTTTGAAGGAAATGGTTGCCGGTGTGTACCCAAAACCAGGAGATGTTGAGAATAACATTTTTGGCGAGATTGAAAGGCTTTCGAGGAAGAACGAGACTTTCTTGCAAGATGACTCGAGGTCACTTGCTGAGAAGCTACAAAGCATGTTACCTGCTGATGAGGTAGCCAATATTAAAAAGGCGAAGGGACCTACGATATAGGTCAATTCTATGTCCTATAGTGTATTCATAAAAATATAAAAATGGTATTGTACAAAAGATCATACACCCGGCAAAATTCAACTTTTAAATCTCCATATCACAGTCCTAGCTTGTAAAATCTTTTAAAAAATGCATCTCTCTCTTAGACTATTTTACCTTTTCTAACAACTCCATTCTTTTCGGCTAACAATTCCCCCCCCCCTTAATTCTCTATACCTGCTCCATTCCTTTCCTTGCCGCATCAACGATCTTCTTCACCTCTCCATTCCCTTTCTCAACAACCTTCTCCATCTCCTTATGCGCCTTCTTTGAATCATCAGGCCTGACCGTTTTCTTTACCTCCATCGCTCTTAACTTTTTCTGCATAGCTCCTCTCGCATTGCGGACTCCATGACTGGCTAGTTCTCCTGCTTTCGAAGCTGCTTGTAGTGCTGCGTCCCGAGATTCTTTGGTAGGTGGTGGTATGGGGATATTTAGAACGAGAGGATTTTGTGGATCGGGCGTGGGTTGGAGGGAAAGGGTGGAGGATTGGATGGTGGAGAGAATGGGTTTGCTGTGCTGATTGGAAGGTTAGCTTGTGTCTATGAAAGTTCAGGATAGGGATATGAAAATTCGAAGGGAACCACGTAAAAATAAAAATAAAAATAAAGAATAATCAACATACATCCTTCTCCCCAACAAGCACAGCGACGCTTCGTCCCCCTTTCGGCAGCACCTGCGCCAAATCACCTAATCGAAAACTTTCTTTCGCATCTTTCCCTAACTTAACTCGCAATCCTTCTAATAGCTCTGGATTAAATCTTCCTCCAGTTCGTAATTTCCCCAAATCATTCTTGAGTTTCTCGAGAGATTTGTCGATTCCAGCTTGTAGTGTGGAAAAATCAAAAGGATCATTGTCTTCTGCGGCGGCGGAGGAAGAGGTGGAGGAGGAATTATCTGATTCGGATGAAGAGTTTTTATTGCCCTTGTCTTTTTTCTTGAAAAGTGTCGGGGTAGATTGAAATTGGAGAGAGGAGCTACTGCTCAGGTAACGGTGGTGAGGGGTATTTTGATATCGAGTGGGTATGCTCAATTGGAGGGGTCGTATCTCTGAAATCGATGCATTTTGTGAATTGGAACTTAGAAAGTTGCGTTTCAATGCCTGAGCAGAACGAAGAGATATACGAGGTGGCATTTCGTGAGGAATGTGAGGATCAATGGAGAATTGAATTGTGATTGTGAGAATTTTAGACAAGGCGGGATTGAGGCCTCGTCTGTCTTGAAAATAATATTTCAGCCTCAATGGATCTGCATATTGCGGGGATTGGTACGTGCATTTGATCGAGCTCCAGATGACAGCGAGACGGCCTCGAATACATCTTGAAAGCACTTGACCACCTATGTACATATTGATATTTTATAATGGTTGAAATTTACAGTCCATTACAAATGATCTTCAGATGGTCATGAACCGATTTTTTCAAACACATTTATTTAAGTCTAAATTTCAAATCATTGATTGTCTGATTTGATGTGTTCCTATATTAGATGTAGGAGGGTGCCGTTCCTGTGGGATTGTTTTGTTTGTTCGTACACAGGCAAATGAATATAATGCTGCTCCTTAAATTCTGGGAGAGAGGGGTGCATTGTATGATTTCTACGTACTTTATGTTGGACATGCATATTTTTGTTAAGAAAGATGACTAAACTCTGTACAGCTATGTTCGTCTAGTCTCATGAAGAGAGAGGGTTTAGTTAATTTACCCGACAGCAAGATGTACTTTTATCCCAAACATCATATCCTTTGATGGATCAGTAATTGAGGGCACATATACATATCTTTTCTTATATCTACGGCAAATGCATCTGTTTCAACTTCTTCAACAATCCCCATATCCCATCCAAAAGGGATTGGCAGCATGCTACGATAGCATCCATCCCAACACCCACCCACAGTCTCGACGGTCTCCCTTATTAAATCCCAACTGACATTCTCACCCGAGTCGTTCTCGCTCCCCCTGAGCTTCCATCCTTTCGTGAGAAGCCTTGGTACAAATACTATGAGCGTCTTTACCCTCCAACCACCAGGGTCCCCTTCCCCCTCCCCGAAAACCGCTTTCTCAAACTCACCATCTCTCTCTCCACACTACCTTAACAACGAAGTAGGCAATCACCAACCATCTCCATTTTCTCTTCTCTTAGCTATTCGATATATTTCCTTCGAAGTTCATCGCCTATTACGCCTTGCATTTCTTCTCCTTCATCATGCACTCCGCATACCTCAAAATAAACCCTCGATCTCGATCTCGATCTCGACCTCATCATTTGCGAATCCTCTCTCCATCTTTCTCACATGTTCTGTATTCCATTCGCTCATTAGAAATCACCATATGTCCATATTCCAAACTTGATATTCTATTCTAAACACTATCCCACTATTTCCACCAAGGAAAACTCCGACTTCTGGATGTATACGTAACAGAAGGTACCTCCAATGGTTGGATTGAAGATTTTCGTTACCACCACCTAGTCAGTCATCATTCATCTAGAGCTCTATGTCTAGAAGCATGGGCTGGCTTAAAAGACCTTCTTGAAGATGCTACTTCAGAACAGGCAAGATTATGGGGGTATAGAAGCCTAGTGGCCAAGGCAATAGAAGGACTTTGGAGAAAACTTCAAGCGACGCATGTGAGCTAGTTGCTCGATGCGAAAGTCAAATACTTCAGAGGGTACTTGGTTCATTGAGATGTATGAGAATCATACTGTTAAATACTTAAAGAGTCATATTTGATGAGTGGTTGATGCCGCGTTTTCCATTCTTGAACCTAGGGTTTGGAATGCATGAACAGTCTCATTTGCTTGAAACCATGTGTTCTCATGGTTCATATTTCTTGTACTCTAGATTAGACCTCGTAATTCTCATGATACTAATGTAATACAGACATGCTAGAATCTTCAAATATGAAACGGTGTTACGCCATCATCGTGAAATTGAAATTTATCTCTTCACCTGCCTGTGATGTAGACCACATATTCGAAGCGCTTGCGTCGTCTCAATTTAAAGAGGCATCCGGATGTTTTGTTGGAATACTTTCCTTCCCATGACCTTCTCAGCTTTGCTTTAGCAACATCAATAGAATAGAGCATATAATTGGAACATATGTAAAGTTTTTAACGTGATCAATTTGATATTTTTTGCTTATTAACACCCCTTGCCTACAGACAATCTTTTTATGCCTGTAGACAAAACATCAAAGAAATATCGGAACCGTAAAATAGCCAGACGACCATGCAAATAATGGATAAGTGACTTTTTATAAACCCAATATGAGCCTGCGACCAGAGGGTCCAGTCCATTTCATCCGTGTCATGAACTCATATGCATCAATAACTTCCTCCACATTCCTCTCCACCACCCAATAGCTCAACTCACACTTTAACGAGTGGACATGGCCTTGGTGACAGCCCTCTTCAAAGCGAGCTCCTTCTTCTTCAAGTCATCAGAAGTAGAGTCTTCAATCTCGAGTTGAGCCATAGCATCACTCAAAGCAGACTCAATCTTCTCCTTGTTACCACGCTTGAACTTGATGGACATAGTTGGGTCGGAGATGATCTCCTCAACTCTTGAAATGTATGACTCGAGTTGTTGCTTGGACTCGAATCTCTTGCTGAAAGCATCATCACTGCTCTTGAACTCAGCAGCATCTGCAACCATCTTCTCGATCTCAGAAGATGAGAGCTTACCAACGGAGTTTGCAATTGTGATGTTGGCACTACGTCCAGAGGTCTTCTCAGTGGCGGTGACCTTCAAGATACCGTTGACATCGACCTCGAAGACGACCTCGAGAACTGCATCACCTGCCTTCATTGGTGGGATAGGAGCAAGGGTGAACTCTCCGAGGGAAGTGTTGTCTTCGCAGTTGACACGCTCTCCTTGGAAAACTGGGAATTGAACTAAACATCGAAGTCAGTATTTTCTTCGAGAGTTGGGAATTTGGGGATTACTAGCCAGTCTGTTGGTTATCGGCAACCCGTAAGGATGTTAGCAAGTGTCTAATAAGTCTTAAAACATAAGAGAAGTGAAGGGGGTTGATGTTTGAAGTCAGATGTCCAAGTCACGTGAAATGATTCATATCACGTGGGATATTCTCAAGTACTCAGACATCCGGACCAAGTCATATAATGTACTCAGCCCAAGTCAGATTCTCAAATCAATTTGAATTTTCAATCCAAGTCAAATACCCAAACAAATTCGAATATTCAAACCAAGTCAGATACTCGAACAAATTCGAACATTCCATATAAGTGAGATATTCAAACGGGTTCGAATATCCAACCAAACTCAGATAATCAAAAAGATTTGTATATTCAGACAAGGTTGAAAAATCAAAGATGCTCAAATAACCAAGGTTGAAGAATGAAACGGGGTCAAATGTTGAATCGGATCTAGAAAATCGAGAGTATGCATAGAGGGATTGAACTCACAGTGGTGAAGGTTCTCTTCTTGATAGTCTAGAATTAATTAGTTAGTAATGCTTTTGAAAGACTTTGCGGAGATTTCACATACTGGGACAGTTTGACCTCTGGTAACGACAGGGGCAAAGATGTTACCCTCCATGGCAACACCTAGAGAAAGTGGGACGACATCCAAAAGGAGGAGGTCAGCAGTCTCAGCAGAGGTAGCCTTTCCGGAAAGGATACCAGCTTGAACAGCAGCACCGTAGGCAACAGCCTCATCAGGGTTGATGCTCTTCTCCAACTTCTTGTTGTCAAAGAACTCACTCAAGAGCTTTTGGATCTTGGGAATACGGGTAGAACCACCGACAAGAACGATCTCGTCAACCTTACTCTTATCAATAGCCGCATCCTTAAGAACCTGTGCAACAGGGTCCAAAGTACCGGAGAAAGCCTTGGCGTTAAGGTCCTCGAATCTGGCACGGGTGATTTGAGCATTGAAGTCCTCACCATCGAACAAGGAATCAATCTCAACGTTGGTGGAAGCACCGTTGGAGAGGGTTCTCTTAGCACGTTCGCAAGCAGTTCTGAGACGACGGAGAGCACGGGGGTCGTTGGACAAGTCCTTCTTGGTCTTTCTGGTGAACTCCTTCTTGAAGTGATCAAGGAGGTTGGTATCGAAATCTTGACCTCCCAAATGGGTGTCACCGGCAGTAGCCTTGACAGTGAAGACACCACCTTGGATGTTGAGGAGGGAAACATCGAAAGTTCCACCACCGAGATCGTAAATGAGAACGTTACGCTCCTTGTTGGACTTTCCAGCACCGAGACCGTAAGCGATGGCGGCAGCAGTAGGCTCGTTGATGATACGTAGAACGTTGAGACCAGCGATGGCACCAGCGTCCTTGGTAGCTTGACGTTGGTTGTCGTTGAAGTAAGCTGGAACAGTGATAACGGCCTTCTCGACCTTCTTGCCCAACTTAACTTCGGCAATTTCCTTCATCTGTAATTCAAGTATTGTTAGTAAACTCGCTACCGAGGAGTGGGATGTGAAAAAACTCGCCTTGGTCAAAACCATTGATGAGATCTCTTGTGGGGAGAAGGTCTTCTCCTCCCCGAGATACTCAACTTGAACGAATGGGGATCCATCCTTGTCAACAACGGTGAAAGGCCATGATTGAATATCCTAAAGGATGTGTTAGTGACAGCCAATCGATACAAAGCATCTGAGAGAAAAATGAAGAATTTTTGCTGCAAAATCCAACATATTCCGATGCCTGAGAATCTTGATGGAATGAAATCGGGTAAATACCTTTGTGGTGTGGGGGTCATCGAATCTTCTTCCGATCAAACGCCTGTATATCCATTAATACTTTGTTCCTGTCGCGAAAGTCGAGATACTGACTTGATATCAAAGATGGTGTTCTTTGGGTTCATTGCGGCATTGTTCTTAGCAGACTCACCGATCAAACGCTCCTTGTCGGTGAAGGAAACGAAAGATGGGGTGGTGAAGCTACCTTGCTCGTTGGCAACTGGTGATATCGATCAGTATAATATCTCGGTTGTCGAAGCCCGATTTGCGAAATCAATTTTCCGGGAGAAGAGGAATACGTACTGATCTCAACATTGGTTCCCTCGTATACAGCAACACAAGAGTATGTGGTTCCTGCGCGTCGTAGATGGTTAGTATTCGTTATTGATATCGAAGAAGTATTGCGAGATTTTTGAAGATTTTGACAAAGAGAAAATTATGCCCCTCATCCACAACCTTCAAAATTCGGAAAAAAATTCTTATCTTACCAAGATCGATACCAATGGCACCCTCGTAAACTTCGTCGGCCATCTTGAAGAATGTATTAGGGTAGAAGAAGAATTTATGGTAATAAAAAACTTCAAAGAAGACGGTATGGAGGAAAGCAGAGAAGAAGTTTGAAATTTAATCGCGGGGAGGGAGAAGATAAATTTACCAAAAGCCAGTGGGATTTTTCATTGAGCTAATTTGTTCGTCCGTGCCCTTTCGCCTCGCTCCCACTCTACACGTGATTTTCTCAATAGAATTTTTCACGACAAGCAAAAAAAAATGCTAGCTTTTCTTATTACCTAAACTATTATAGGAATCACTCAGGTCCCTTGACTCCATTCTCATATTTACCGTGCCCAATGCTTGATGTTCAATTTTGCAATGTGGAACCATCGATTAACTTCAGAATTTCTGAATGGTTGAAATCCCATGCTTGACCTGCCTGTAAAATTCACTCTTTGCCGATAGCGATAGCGGGGTGATAATGGAGGACCAAGGAGAAGAATCTTGCAAACAATCACAGGTGGATAACAAGTGGTATATAAGATCTGGTTGCTTGAACTTTTACCTATCATTGTCGAATTTGAATTGCTTGTCTTTCACTTTCAATCGATAATTATCTCCTTGGATAATCTCCATGATCATATCGGCCCCCCTAGTACTTTAGGGTTAGGGTTTCGGAACCATCTTTACGGACTTGCAGACTGAGAAGAGGGCAATCTGCATTTATCACTTCATTTAGATTTGTGAATATAGTAGTAGTAGTAGTAAATCCATAATCGATTCGATCTATATAGCTATGCTAAGACCATGCGATGTGTCTGTATCTGTATCTAATTGAATAAAGTAGATAGAAAAAAGATATAAAAACCTACTCCTTCTTAGTATCCCATTGAGTCGCCTATGTTATATACTCGTTCTGTCCAACACTTATAGTCTATAATACCTGTACTTTCAAAGACGATGTTGTTGTAGTTGCTTCGTTTCCATTCTGCGAGTTAGTAATGTGTGGCCTATTTCCACCCGGCATGGTGGTGTAGGCCCCCTTTCCCCTCTTTTGCGACGCGACGATTTGATTTGTGAATATATTTAGCATTAAATTGTTGAAATTTCATAAGGTCTTTGATACTACGAATTCTGTGGAAATACAATAAAGAAGACGTGTACTCATTGACAGGCAGCTCGAGTGATGAGAGTTGATTGCACAATTCGTCCGGGTAACATAACATCTCGTTCGACCGATGTAAACCGTGTACAGTATACACCTAGCTTCCTCAATCTTTACAGATCAACGGAACTATAAGATCTAAAAAGTTGCAAATAAGATTTGATGCCTAAAGACGGGAAATTCCTGAAAAGAAAAGGGTGCTAACGTTCATACCGTTGATCACTATAGCAACTGAGATGAGTTCACAATCTCATGCATATTTCCTGGTCTTCCCCCCCTCTCGCTTGAATATCGCTTCGCTAATTAGGGGTCGTGTTATGTGCATTGCCGTAGTAATACTTTGTGAATATTAAATAACTAGGGCTTGAGATAAATGCTCGAAGTTGGGGGAGGATAAGGTTAGTTAACAATGACAAAGGAGTGTTTTATGCACAGGAGATAAGCAAGGGAAAAATGGCTTTTTGCTGGGGATGAAACGGTCAGCGATAAGAGGGGTAGTTGTTAGGAGGGAAACAAGTAGAGGTAGAGGAGAAATGGGATATAACTTGGAGAATAATATTTAGGAGTGGCAGAGATGCTTAAGATACTCTATTAGCGATTGAGGAGGTGTACTTCATAACTGGCGAGAAATTCATCTCCTGAATCTTTTGTGGACAAACCATTTCAGACAATCAAAAAATTTCCTCTTCACACAAATCCGGACCTTTGACAGTACTCAATGGAGATCATTGTGCAAAGATCACCCCGGAAAATGTGTTTACCGAAATACATCATACTTTTCTTCTCCTATTTAAATTATGCAATCACATCATCCAAAATAGATTCAGTGAAGAGACTCCATTGTGCCTCCAAGTTCAGGGTCTTGTACAAATCGCGATTCTTGACAAGGAAGTCAACGTATTGATGTTTTAGCGGGCACGATAGGGGTGTCTCGATTTTCCTAGATGCTTTTTATATAGGGTGACATGCAATAGATTCTTCGCTTTCAAGAAAACATCAATTTACAGACCCTCTCCGTATCTTGGTAACGCAGCTGGAAATGTTCATATTTTGGCGGACTCGGATAGGTGTCTCGGTTCTTCTAGCTACTTCTCGAGGACGACGATATATGCAATGTATTCTCATTATCAAAAAAGCGGTTTCTATAATTGGATCCCCGGCTGTGAAGTTCGCACCAAGTTATCAACTCCCTCTCAAAATACGTTGCTCGAATTACCATTGACATTGGGTTATCGGGTTTGATCGTTCATACAAACGGAAATCATACAGGCCAGCTTGAAGAGCGAGACAGCATAGACTCGTCGGTGCATAGAATCCAAGCCTTCTTAATACTGATAAAAGAATGGCGATTTATTGTTGTAACAAACCCCCTCCCCGCCCCTCCCCCCTCTCTTGCCCGAACTCTCCTTGTCATCGCACATCCATTCTCATCAGAATCTACTCACGCAAACAAATAGTTACAACATACCTCTAGCACCGAAGATGAAGTTGAATGAAACCTACCCGAGAAGTTTCCAATCTTTTGATTGCCCTCATACATTCCATCTGCACAAACCAATTTACCGTTTCCTCGCCCCCCACTCGCCCCTCCTCAATGTCCCCCTCCTCAACCCTTCGCCCCCAAATCTCTCGCTCCGCAACCTCTCCTATTTATTTTCAAAGCAAATCGACTCGTAAACTCACACTCCTCGAAACCTTGAAGTACTCAGTCTTAATTGCTACGTGCATTTGTGAAAAAAGGGAGATTCATGCCGTGTTTACCTTCGTGCGAACTAATTGGAACCAGTTGGCCGAGTCATCAAAGGCCGACCACTACTCATCTAATAGCTCGGACAGATTGACATGGAATATTGGAAACGCAGGCTAAATAATTGGAAAACTGGGCTTCTTCGATGTTCATATTTTTACTGAATATTGAACTACTTATATGGCGCGCGCCAAGGACATGTGCCTCTTCTCCTTTCTCAAACTCCAGAACTGGATATCTAACACAGCTCTATTATCATATCATGGACCATCCCCATTTCCTTATGATACATAAATCATCTGTACAGTGCCGAACCTCACCATATGCCAGACCACAAAATTGCGATAGGCCTCTTAGACGCCGCCTAATATTTAATCTTAGACTCAGAAAATCAAAATGCCAAAATAACGCCCACCATTACTGCCGTAGGTTATTCTCACGGCCTTGAATTACGAAACAATACTCTTATCAGCTTCTCATCAAATTAGCAAACACTGTAACCTTTTCAATCTCAACTTCAGGCCCACCAGCAGGCTTCACTGTACCCTTAGGAAGGGCTGCAATCAATTCAACTTCAATCTTGTTAACACCAGGAACAAGTCGAGCTTCAAAAAGAGGTTGTCGGGGATCGACTCCATGATTTGGTATGAGTGGTATAGCATGCAATCTAGTTACTCCAGACGTAACAAAGATCTTATATTGACGCTCGAGTAAAGCATGAGCGATTGTTGGTTTGATTTGAAGATAATAATGTGTCGAAGGGAAGTTGATCGTGATAGATTGTTGCGCCAATGTTGCGGATGGGGGTAAATCCATGTGGAAATGACGAGAAACATTAAGACGTGGATGAGTTGCGATACTCAGATTTGTAATCATAGCATGGGAAGCATCTACATTTTGTTAGCACTATATCCGAGTAAAAAATAAAATTACCACTCACTTTTCCCTGGTGCCCTGAACTTGGAATCTAAACCAAGATTTGCGGGTTGGTGATTGAATGATTGTGCATAGCCACCCTGATTATATGAATTTTGATTAGATGCATTGGGAGTATTTGGTGGAAGCATGTTACTTGGAGCCGGCGTTGGCGTCGATCCTGTTCGATTCATGGGCCTTGGAGTGGATTGCATTGGCGCGGGCGAATTGCGTAAAGCTTCCTCGCCCTTGACAAGTACACTTTTAGAAAGGGTTGGAGATGCTGCAGAATTTGACATACTCCTAGCTCTTTCTAATTGGTCTAGTCTTGGAGCAGGCGTCGCAACTGAGTGAGAACCACCAAAGGGGTTTCTACGGGTTTCGCTGTTGGAAGAGGCAGTAGAGGCTACAGTTCCGTTGGAACCACTAGTTAATGGAGCCGGTGAGTCCGCTGCTCTAGCTACTCCGACTCTCAAAGTGATCTTTGGAGCAGGTTCAGGAGCCTTAACATTTATTTTTATCTTTGGAATCACAGGCTCGGGCACAACCTTCTTAGCTTCTTCCAAAGATTTCTTGAAAAAACCCTGATAATTGTTAATAAAGAAGTGGTAAATAGGAAGGCAATTACGTACCTCAAGATCTCTTGCTAGATTGAAGATTTCACTTCCGTCTTCATTGTAGTGATATGCATTCTTCCATATCAAACTTGCATCTTCTTCAAGCGCAGCCCATGACTTAAAATCGCTAACACCTGTGGCATTCTTTCCCCCAAAAGTTCCTTTGACACGCTTTTGTAAATCCCTCAAGCAGTGTGGGTTTGGAATCACTTGATAATAGTCTTTCAGACTACGTGGAGGTAATGTAACAAATGGTTCAAACTCAAAGAACTCATCACTGATTTGGGTGTTAGCGTAGGTCAATGATGTAATTCATTTTACTTACGATGGGTCTTCTTTATGTGAGAGAACATCTGCTAAAATCTTCTCTTGCGCTTGTTGAAAACTAAGTCCCGCAAAGCTGATACTAGCATATTGTGAATCGGACACAGCGGGAGTAGTACTCTTACGTGGTGCCAAGGGATTCTTTGGGGGTCGACCTCTTCGTTTTATGACTGGTTGTGGCTCAATCTTTATTTCTTCCGCCTCAAAATCTTCCGGCTCTCCTTCCGCATCTATATCACTGTCATCTTGCACAACCGGTGCAGGCGTGGGCTCAACATGCTTAGGATGTGCCGGTAGAGACCCAGCAGGTTTAGAGTCCGGTTTGTATTCGATTGGTTCGAGAATTTCAATAGGCGTAGGCTCTAACTTCATTCCCGGATTTGTCTTGTATTCTGGATTGTTGTCCGTCATAAATTTGACTACTGCCTTTCGTATCCGTTCAGCATCGCGATGAATTATAGATTCTCGTTCATTGTAATCCTTTGCATTTTTAACCAAACGCTTGAAGAAACTCTCAAGTTCCGATAAAGTAGAAAAGGCAAAATTGTCCAACTTTTCTTGAATAGTGTCAAACGCGATTGGCATCTTTGTAACGGCATAGTAGGCGGCGAACTCTTTTCTATCGGGGAGGGTGAGGAAATTGGTCGCGAAAGGTCGTCCCCTAGAAAAAGAGAAAGCTATTAGTGAGTGGTACTCAGGATTGAAGGAGTTGTGTTAAATTGTGAATTTAGAGCAGTGAAGGTGATAATCGTGGTGTGATCAAATGTGCGTCCATGATAACCCCTCCATCGCATACCAAAGATTGGTGAGATAGCAGATCTATCGCGAAAAGAAATCATTAGAGATGATAACTTACTGTTTATCCAGACCCGTCCTCAGTTGATTCAAAAGTATCAATCCATAATAAGTTGTAGTTTCTGGTGTCTGACCTTGGCTGAGATCACCATTCTATTCATTGTTAGTCTCGTTCTCGTGTCATTTTCGCGTTCATGGTATTTATGAAGGATGATTGACAGAAAGTATAAGAAGAAGTGGTTGTGCGCCGGCTCACTTCCCTGGCCGCCAATGGAGAAAGAGCTGGTAGTTATTTAAACCCCACGAGCAATGCACCCAAACTTTTGAATCTTCTTTCTTACATCGAAGCGCAACAATAACAACCACGAGATAGGCGCAAACTTACAAGGGGAAGCTTTCTTCTCTTCACAGCGCGATCCGCATCATCAAGATCCGCAGTACTATCGCCATTAACCTTTCTCTTTGGATCCATCTTATTATCGTATTGTGCTGTGTCGTATTGTATTATATTGTATTGTATCGTACGGTACGGTTTCGTATAATGACTCCTCGTGTACTTTTTCGCAGATGTACTTGAATCAAATCCGCAGATTGATGCGAAATTCCAATGAAGAATGCGGACGCGTCAAAGCCGAATATGCGCGTTCTGAAGCTTTACAAACTTCGAAGTACTGATGGGGAGATATGCAGGGGTAATGATCTTTGGCTTTGGCTGTTCCGATTTACCACGCAACAAGGATGAAGATACGATAATGATCAATGAGATTCCCTTCTATTTGAGTATGGGATGAGTATCATGAAAAACTGGAATTTCAGAGTATTTCTTTGGAATTCGGACGTTGGAGAGATTGGTTTCAAGGAGAGTTGAATGTGTATTCTCGACTCAACTCAATCAATCAACAGTTTCCAACATCGACTGAAGCGATAAATCATACAGAGTTCACTGGCAATGAATTGGAAGTGGAGGGTTGTATCACATGACTGTTTGAGAAAAGATGATGATGCCTGAGGCGGTCATCGACAATCCTGCCGTGCTACCTGCGCTGGTGGTTTGATTGGATAATTACATGGAATAGATGAAATAAGGCTGTACTTCAGCCTTTCCCACGAGGCTGGACTCCACTTTACACAAACAAGTCAAAAGTCAAGACCTTAATAAGGTTTCGATTTGTTTACATCACCACCACCTCCACCACCTCCCGAGTCCACTTCTGATCTATCCCAATAACAAAATAAAACACTTTCGCAACTTAAATCAACCAACCAACTCAATTTCACAACACGTCACATACAATACACAAATACAGAAATACACAAGTTACTTGCAGTCACTACAATTTGCTTTGAGGAATCCTTTTGTCTTCAATCAATTCCAATTTTTCAATCACTTTTTCCAATACTCCCCTTGGCTTTTCGCATATAGTTTTCTTCACCGCAAAAGCAGCGCAATCTAAAACCAATCAACCCCTCGACGCCTTCCTTCATCGAACACCATATACATTTGCGCCGGCGCCAATCATATAATCGTCATCGGCCTCGAGAAGACAAGACCTCACATACCACAGAAGAATCAGCTAACCTACGAGTCTGTCGATTCAAGCATCAACATACTTTCTGTCGCGTCGTTGCCCCACCTCTACGTTTGACAATATTCATCAATCGCGACCACAAGAACAGAATAGGAACTCAGAGCACAATGGCCGAAATAGACTATACTAGAAGAAACAAGTACGCGAGACCACTTTCCGAGGCCGAGAAGGAGCGTCTAGATGAATTTATTGATGCAATTCATTATTCTGCAAGGTCAGTACAAGCCATGGCGCAAACCTTGGGCTTCAATTGTTTCATCGCGCAAACACTTACCTTTGTTATAGATACTCCGACGATCAATACGAGTACCGACATGTTCAGCTCCCAAAAGCTATGCTGAAAGTTATCCCAAAGGAATACCATGATCCCCAAACTGGTACCTTGAAGCTATTGTGGGAGGAAGAATGGAGAGCATTGGGAATAACACAGGTATGTACAGAAAAGTTGAACACCCAAACAAATGGGACTGATCAGGTGAAAATAGAGTCTTGGCTGGGAACATTATGAGGTACATGAGCCAGAACCACATATTCTACTCTTCAAGTGCGTTACCAGGACACCTTCCCAAGCCTTCATCAAACGCTAATGAAATTCATTTAGGAGATCAATTAATTATCAACCACCAACTCAACAACAGTAAATATGCTGCATTTCATCAAACTCGATCTCAACGAGTCTTTTGATTCAGCATAACACCTTATACAGGAGGACATATGCTTTGACGATGTTACGTCTGATGTCTCTCCTAACTTACACGACTTATTACACTTTATGGTTTTCAATTATTCGTTTGATGTACTAGATCAGGATTAATTAACATCATCTCCACTGCTATATACTAGTCCTAGTTTATCTTGGGAAGTTAATGATAGCAAGGCTTTTTAGGGCTGGTTGCAATGGATTTAGGGAGTGTAGAAAAGCAGAAAAGAACCCAATACTGAGGATCAGATGATGTATGGTGGCAGGTTCAGCATAAGTATATGCAGAACGGGAGGATGATTGAGGGGTTACAATGGGGGGGGTGACGGTTCTCCGGTCATTGCACTCTCATTAGAAGGCAAGGGTTTACCAAAAGAACAATAAATCATATCTACATATATGTTTTCAATATAATGTGATTGTGTGACAGCTATTCCGTGCTTGGTGAGATGGGATGATGAGATCGTCGTGTGATTCGAAGGACGAAGTCAGTAATCACGCTCGTTGACTTTCGTATGTTATCGATATGAGATGATGATGATATTTGATGAGATTTGATGATATTTGATTCTCACGCGAGTTCTTTGATGTGGTGCTTGGTAAATACAAGGTAGGTAGGTAGGTAGGTAGGTAGGCACCTAGTAACCTTTGGACTTGAATGTCTAAAATGGGAGGGGTAGAAGAAGAAACAGCAGGATGAATACCGGTGTACCTTCAAAATTCCGCTCTAGTATAAGACATTGTAGAAGTCAATTCTATTCGTGGTATCCTTGGGAGTCTATTTATGCCATCAACACCATGGTCCGGGCCGTTGAATCTTCGGTTGGATATTCCGTTAGATGTTCCATGAGATATTCCATGGCTTTTTTTTATTTAAGTGGCACTGTTTGATCTCCGGGCTGAAGATCCGATAACTTATTATTAGATGACCTCGGGAAGGAATGATAACGAACCACTATCAAGCCACTCTCGACCACTCCGGCTCCTTTAAAATGGACAGATTGTAAATAGTAATAATAATAATAAAAAATACTCGAAACATGATCATCTGCTTTCAAATCAATCCCATTGATATGTTTATCGGTATAATAACTAGTGAAGGACCATGTGTATTTAATTGACTATCAAAATCAAAACTCCAAAAGAACCAATGTTTCTTTCTTTCACACTAACTTACATTATATTTATTTATTGAAAGGTGTCTTCAATTTACCATCTAGAAGAATCTACTCGGGAAGGTTGTCACTGCTCTTCCATCTTATAGAAACTATTTTTATCTTGACCTTCCTTTCATAGTTACAAGAACTCGACAAAATAGGTTCTCAATACATCAACTTATTCATATTCCCAGGATAATTCTACATCTTACTTCGGAAACTCCGAAGCTTTTCACTTGTGTGCCTGAATGAAATTCATCTAAGATATCAAACAAAAGGCCAAGTGTCAGTCACATCATGAAGACCGCCGCTCGAGCATTCTACTTGGGTTTATTTACTCTCTTGAGTACTTGTACTCCTCATGTAGAAGCTTCTGATTCTTCATCCAAATCAAAAACTATTCAAAGTCCAGATGTTTGCGCGGTATGCTTTACTTTTCTTTTACCAGGCATATGTGTCTAATGCCATTACTCAGATCTCCCCAAAAGCTATCGTTTCGGATGCATGTACAACATACGCTACCCTCGATGACCTGAACCGAGAAATATCACCTTCCTTAGACGACCTCACTCGAACCACCGATTTCTTTGCCTATTACCGTCTGAACTTGTTCGGTAAGGAATGTCCATTTTGGAACGATGAGAATGGCATGTGTGGCAATATTGCCTGCGCCGTAAATACATTAGACAATGAAGAAGATATACCACTAGTATGGAGGGCAGAGGAATTGGGAAAACTCGAAGGACCAAAAGCCGGCCATCCGGGCAAGAAATTACAACAAGAGCGTCCGAAGAAACCACTACAAGGAAAACTCGGCGAGGATGTAGGAGAGAGTTGTGTGGTAGAATACGATGACGAATGTGACGAGAGAGATTATTGCGTACCGGATGATGAAGGCGCAGGATCAAAAGGAGATTATGTGAGTTTGGTAGACAACCCGGAAAGGTTTACCGGATATGCTGGCGAGGGTACGAAACAAGTTTGGGATGCCATTTATCGAGAGAATTGTTTTTCGAAAGCATCCTTCCCACATTCGGAATCCCTTGGTCACTCTCCATTGTCTCTGAAAGAGCCCGCGGCAAATGAACTCAAGTCTGTTCTCAAACAACATGGTCGTCAACACATACTGGAAGAACAACGAGAACATTCCCCAAAGCTTCCATTCGTAGCAGAAACTGGTCTTGAATTGGAGGATGAGTGTTTGGAGAAGCGTGTCTTTTATAGAGTCATTTCTGGCATGCACACATCCATCAGCACACATCTCTGTTACGAGTATTTGAATCAAACTACTGGTGAATGGGGCATGAATGTTGATTGTTACAAGGACCGGCTACATGGCTTTCCGGAACGTGTTTCGAATCTTTACTTCAATTACGCTCTTGTTCTACGAGCAGTCACAAAACTTGGCCCTTCGCTTAAGGACTACACTTTCTGTTCCGGAGATCCAGCTCAAGATCAACTTACCCAATCCAAGGTACAAACTTTAATGTCAAAAGCATCAAAGGAGACTCGAATTTTCGATGAAAGCTTGATGTTTGTTAATGGGGAAGGTCCAAGTTTGAAAGAAGATTTCCGAAATCGATTCAGAAATATCAGTCGAATCATGGATTGTGTTGGTTGCGATAAATGTCGACTATGGGGTAAAGTCCAAACCGCAGGTTACGGAGCAGCGCTAAAAGTTTTATTTGAAACCGATAATAATTCTTCGGATGTCCCCATATTGAAACGAACTGAACTTGTCGCTTTGTTCAATACTTTGAGTCGTATTTCCCATTCTCTCCGCGCTATCAATGAGTTCCGAACTTTGGTAGAAGCAGAAGAGAATGAGTCTGAAGAGGCAGTTCAGCTAACGGATCGTGTGACTAAACCACATCATGTTATTCCTGAGGAAGCCCATGAAGATCCAATAGTAAAAGATTTTGCGGAATATGATGAGGAGGTGAAGTTGAAGCAAAAAGAGCCTACCGTCTCGGAATTGTTCTGGACTGAATTAAGATTGACATGGAACATCACCAAATATGTTCTTTGGGGGTGGTTTAGATCTCCTGTTACTTTGTATGTTTTCCGCTATTATTTCCTCCATCCTTTAATGCAAATGCTTACATATATTTATAGATGGGAAATTTTTGTCCTCGAGATCTCAAGATTCTGGGAATATTATATTGGACTTCCAGTCTCTCCTAGGAAATGGACGATTGTGAGACCAAATTTTGATGAACTTTAAAGCGTTGGGGACAACTGAAATGTATGGAGTTTAAGGGTTGTTAGAAGCAGCATAGCGTATGGAGTTTTTACTTTTTGGGGTCTCTCATATTTCCTCTTAGGGGTGAACTTTGCATAGATGGGGTTCAGTCTCGAAAGGATACATATTTTGATAGTGTAGCGAAGATGTTCAAACAGACAATTTGAAATTAGACGCTTTTGTTGAACAATTTTCTTTACCCACGGGACGTGATTTTTGAATTGGTTCGCGAGTCTTCGATGGGAAAGAATATATGCATCCGAGTGAGTAGTCGACAAATTCACAGGGCGAGTTGAGAAGTAGGAGACTGAAGTAATAAAAAAGTATGCCGAACACCGTTATTTATTTCGAGGGACGTGCTTGAAGTCAGTTCCCTAGATCAAGGTTCAAATCCATGTGGATGAATGACTAGCTTTCTTCTGGACCATACCTGCACGCTTCCAACTTCCAAGTCGGAGCTCATGCGGAAAACGAAAATGGTGATTTATATGTACGGTACGTATCGTCGATGAAGTTTTTAGTTGTCGAGGGAATGCTAGCACAGTCAATCTTAGCAAGAAGTGAGATGTAGATAAAGATTACTCCTTTTGAGGAGATGGGATGGGGTAGATCGAGGTTGCCGGAATAATAAATTGGGATTAGGATTAGGATTCTTGAATATGGGAACGAGGAAATAGAGGGGATAGAGGGGTTTTGATTCTAAAATAAAGGGTACGTACCTGCCAGACAGTTTATAGTAAGGTTAGGCATCGGGCGGTGTTCCCTCAAATAACCCCGGATAATTACCCGGAAAATTCGATAAATATTTGCTCTGTTATATTTCATAGGGTAAAATAAATATTCTTTAAGATACTATCAGATATAAATATATTCAGAATAAAATCCATATGATATTACATATGATATAGATATTCAAATAGGAAATTTATATATAAAATAAAGAAATAAAATGTTACGACGGCATCCAACATACCGCGTCACATGGTCAGGAAGTCACGTGATGGACCTAGAGGATCTAGGGGATCGAAGAATAAACATCTAGATCCATAGGATCCAGAGGATCCAGACAAGACAGAACTGTAGGTTCTGCAGAGCAGGAAGGTCTATATAAGAGAACAGATTTCATTACAATATAGAGCTTCGTGCTCAAGAACAATCATTAGTTTCATTACTATAGTTACGAGAATTGCAACCAGTTACAACCTTATTGAATTCCTACTTGAAGTCTAGTCTAAACCACCTCGAGAGAACTCTAGACACTTCCACGTGACCCTAGAGGCAGCTCCCGTAACATAAAAGTACTATTATTATATAAATTTAATAAACTCAAAATCTATTTATGTAGATTTAATCTAATATATTACTAATTGTTCTAATCAAACATATTAAAATCTAATATTTTTTCATTTTTGTTAATTTGTTTATTTATTTAGAGTATATAAATAATTCAATATTAATTCTTTATAAATGGAATTAAAAGTCTTTTTGTTTCTATTATTGAATAAATATAATATTCTAAATTTTGAAGTAAATTAATGATTATTAATTTAATAAAAATTTATTAAAGATGTTCGAATTATTCGAATTATTCTATTTCATTTTAGTTTATAAGATAAAACTTTGAAATTATGTTCAATATACTCAAACAGATTTTAAATTTGTTGAGTTGATATAATATCATTTTATTATTAGAATTGTATATATTTGAATCTATATATTAATTGAAAATAGTCTTCATTTTTTAAATAACAATTATAAAACAATTATATAATATATCCTGAATACCTTAAATATCCAATAGATTTCCTGAGTATCTACTTTGTTATATATCTATAGGATAGAGTAAATACTCATAAGGGATTTACGAGTGCCCAACACTAGTTTATAGATGTAAATTCTTATATGTACGATTAACTTAGAGGACCTGTTCTCTATAAGCGAAATAAGAGACGAAAGTTGAGTACTATTCAGAAGCACTTCGATATTGTATTAATATATCTGATTGTTAATAGAGAGAAGACTCAAATTTTTACTTAATATTTTTAGAATTTAGTAACTAACTTGAAATAAATTTATGATTTAATGAAAATATTCTTTGAAAGGGGACTCAATTCCCGCCTCCTATTTTGGTTACGTAAAGCTGGTGTAGATGAGCTTTTTTCGTTGTTTGGTTATTGCAGAAAGAGTTGTATCGTTAGTTTGTTGGCAATGCATCATCCGGGTAATCACTGATCGATAGGTGTTTTTCTTTTACTTGAATTATACAATAATACTTGAATCCGGAGTAGAGATGCTTTCGATCAAGTA